TTCATATACCAAGGTATGGATGAATCATTGTGCATTCATTCATAATAAATTATCAGACTAGCTATGCACATAAAGTGTTCGATGAAATGACAGAACCAAAACATTGCCCTGTTCCACCACATTATACATTCAGTCGAGCAAATTTATTCACAAATATGCAATGATAAGATCCGAGAATTAGTGTAGAATCGACAAAAGCAAAAGAATTCAATGAATGCGGAGAATGTTGAGCAAAATCTGGTGATTAATGAGTTCTAACCATTGCGGGAGATCCAGGGGAATAGATCTACTGTTTTCTCAACGCATTTGATGGGTTTCGTAGCGGACAAGTGAAGAGGACCTGATGAGTGTTTGTGTGTGTGAGTGAGTGAGAGAGAGAGGGGGGGAGAGAGAGAGGGGGTGGGACTCTTTAATATTAAATAATTATATTTTTTTTCAATTTTTTTTAAATAAGGCAAAACTTCATAAATGGTCCCTGTGGTAGTGAAATAACAGAAATGTCCTTCACTTAACGGCCAAATGCTAACGGAGTTCGCGAAAAAGACCATTTGTTAAAAGTTTTGAAACCACAAGGACCATCTGTGAGGTTTTTATAAATTAGAGACTAAACTTCAGATTTTTGGAAACCACATGACCATTTTTGAAGTTTTGTCTATCTTAAATAAAAAAAATGGTTTTTTGTAGGTACCGCCCAAATTCCCATTTCTAACCCCCCCCCCCCCCTTTTTTTTTTTTTTGTCTTTTGTCAACTTTTTGTCTTTATGTTGTCTTTTTTTTACATTAATTATTATAATTATAATAATAATTATTTTTATTATTATTATTACGTAATTAATAATAATTATAATTATTATTATAATTATTTTTTTGTTTTTTATATTTATTATTATAATTATAATAATAAGTATTATTATTATTATTATTATTAATTAATTAATTAATTTAAAAATAATAACAATAATAATGATAACAATAATAATAACAATCGAGCATTATACAACATAAGCATACAGTGGTACTATTAAACAAATTAAAATTTACATTTCATGAATTATCCGATACGTTAACTCTTTCAGTACGACGATTATTGAATTGTCTATATGGTCAAACGTAAGTTGACAATCGAGCGTGATACAATGTTTGTCATCCAGTACAACGTGCTAATTTGTGCATGTTCCACAACCAAGAAACAGTAGCCATTGGATGACCTTCTTGTAAATCAACCTTAATATAATGGCAACCATTAAGGAGAGTGATATTTATAATTGGATGATTTGGGAAATCTTGTGGACCACTCCAAAGTTGGAAAGACGTTGAAGATCCGTCTTTGCTTAAGAATTGAATAATAACACCGTACTTTTTTTTGAAACGGCAAACTAACTAATCTACTCCTAAATAACCACATATGTCTCCACCGAGACTTGAACCCCTGACCTCTCATATGAGATGGTCACACCATACCGCTAGGCCATTGGCCCTTTGGTAATAACACCATACTTATTAGCAATTAAAATACCAGTGTCAGGCATAATCATCCAATATTTTTGAATCGCGGGTGTTTCATAGAAATTCAACGCTTCATTAATGGTATTTATGTCATTTTCAAAAAACCACTCTGTAATCATCAATGTTCATCAATAACTCTCCATATAAGTGTGTCCGAATTTGATACCAATAGTCTTCACTAAAACCAAGAGCAACAGCTATTGCCCGGAATCCACACTGTCCATCTCCTTCCACATTTTGTATGTGTGACACATATGGTTGAAATTCACTTGGAATTTCCTCAATAAGTGCATGTTCGAAGTAGGATCTTTGATACGTTGGTTCTTGGTTGATCATTGAAGATTCTCCATACAAATACGTATTATGCCTCTCCGGTTTCGGTTGTTGGTTTAAATCAAACATGTTAGACCCCATATAATCCGGTGTATACGAAGAAAAACTACCTCTACGAGGATCTTGAGTTGAAGATGCTTTGACTGTTAAAAGGAGTTTTATTTTTTGACTGTTAAAATGAGTTTTACTTTTTTATATAAAAATGTATTATTAAAAGTCATGAAAACCAACTATGAAAAGATGAAGATGCTTTGACTATTAAAATGAGCTTTTTTTTTAAATTGTGTTGATTAAATTTTTTTTATTAAATAATAATAATAATAACTAGAAAGGTTACCCCCACTATGCGGGGGCCAGAAGCTTTCAATGTTGTTTGCGAATCGATAAATATGACAGACGTAGAAAGTGTAAGGATGAAAAGCCCGGACTTTGCCCCGGACCGTTTTTTTCATGTTTTTATGAAAAAATGTAAAAGTTTTGACTACAAGGACCAGAAGTGTCAAAATGGCTAAAGAATTAAAGGGGTAGAAATTAGCAACTTTTTAGAAAAGGGATCAAAGTTGTCAAACCGTTAAAGTTTTGTGGCCAAACTTTAAAGATTAAAAGGTTCCTAAAAAGTGTAAAAATATTGATTGTAAGGACCAAAAGTGTCAAAATGGTTAAAGAATGAGGAGCAAAGTTGCCAAAAAACATCTAGTTTTTATGAAAAAATGTAAAAGTTTTTACTGCAAGGACCAGAAGTGTCAAAATGGCTAAAGAATTAAAGGGGGTAGGAATTTGCAACTTTTTAGAAAAGGGATCAAAGTTGTCAAACCGTTAAAGTTTTGTGGCCAAACTTTAAATATTAAAAGGTTCCTAAAAAGTGTAAAAATATTGGTTGCAAGGACCAAAAGTGTCAAAATGGTTAAAGAATGAGGAGCAAAGTTGCCAAAAAACATCCAAATTTATTATTCCTAACTTTGAAGCTCAATAGTCCAATTGTATTAATAATACAATGACCAATTCTGCCAAAAAAATGACAAGTTTACTATTGCTTTTCTTCATAACTTTAATATATATATATATAATAATAACAACAAAATGAAAAAAAAATAAAAAACAACAAAATGACAAATAAAAATACAACAAAAAACAAAACAAAATTAAAAAACAACAAAATGACAAAATGGGGGTAGATGGAGGGTTTTTATAAATTAAGGGATACATACAATAACACCCAAAAAAACTAAAAACAATATTATTAAAGATTTGATATGAAAGATGTGACATGAGGGGTTTTTTTTAAATTTGAGGAGGTTTTTCTAAGGCTGGAGGGAGTGGTTTCACCGAAACCGCACTCCTTTCACTGTCACATGTGCGTCACATCATTTTTTATCACATAAATATGGTTTCTTGCCACACCCAAAGAGTGGTGCCACACTTTTTATTTTGTTTGTTTGTTTTTTTTAAATAATTTATCAAATAAAACTTTATTTAAAAAAAACATTACATTGCATTATTTGGGTTTATTTTATTATTTTTTTAATGGATAAAATCTTTATTTTTATTTTAAAAAGATAATATTCATTAATTAAAAATAAAAATGTCATACATTGCTTAACTTAAAAAAACTAAACATTTAGAAAAGCAAATTAGAAACATAAAACCTACAACATAAGAAAAAAAAATTAAAACAAACGATTAACAACTTGAAAAAAAAAACTAGAAGTTAACAACGATTTGCGTAACGTTTTTTCACTTCCTCATTCATCGCCAAATAACTTGAAGCTCGTCCCCGGTCATATTCGTCGTGTCCAACGATAGTACTCTCATATCACTGTCCCTTTGTTTCCGAAGCTCTCTTTCAGAAGCAATTTGCAAAATCCTGTCCATTCTATCTTTTATACCCTTCATGTCGGCCCCCATTTCTTTCAACTCGTCTGAATCCGACGTTTTGCCTTTGTCTTTGCTTTTTGTTTTGTCTCTTTCCATTGGTCGGGAAGGTGGTGAAACTAGAACAGGTTCATCTTCGTTCAAATCAAATTAAACACGAGCATATGATGTAGTGTGGTCGGACTCAGATGTTCTGTTACGTTTTGAACCACTGTCGATATGCTCGTCTAATGTTTTGTTGTTTTGTTATTTCTTGTTATCTTTCACAAAATTCCAAACTTCAAGAAACTTGAAAGCCTTCAGGTTTTCTTTTTGATACACTTTCAGTGCTTTTCTCAAAATTGCATCATCGTTTTCTCCACTTTTCCATTGACGTTTCATGTTGGTATACAAATCATTAAACAACATGATTTTCTTGTTCATCTTCCCCCATTTCGAGTACACTTGATGTTTTGAACGGTTTTCTCCACGGTTCATTCCTTTATGGAACCTATGTAAAACGCGAATCCAAAAGTGGTCATGCTTTTGGTCTTTTCCAGTCGTCGCATCTTCTGAAATATCGATCCAAGATTGTGCCAACACTAACACTTCTAGGGGTTCCCAACCTTTAGCCTGCGCCTTCTCTTTTCTTTTAGTTGGTGCTCGAGTGGGCTGGGTTTCTTCAACGAATTCCGGTTCGGAATCAGAAACGACCGTATGTGGTTGTGCTTGTGTTTGTTGAACAAACTCGGGTTGAGAATGGATTAAAATCTGTCGGGTTGTGGTAGTGTTTGTGGTAGTGGTTGTGTTTGTGGTAGTGGTTGTGTTGGTCGTTGTGGAAAATACAAAAGCATACCACCATGGTGGTAATACGAAGGTGAAAAAATCGGTTGATCAAATGAAAGTATTGGGGTTGCGGTGTTTCTAGCGAGTGTTTTTTCTTTGGTGGCCTTTTAGAAGAAGACATTTTGAAAAAAATTTGAGGAAAATATAGTAAAAAGATAAGGAATTATTATGAAGATTTTGTAAGAAATGGTAAGTATATATAGGGTAAATTTAAAAAAAATAAAAAAATTTAAAAATAAAATTAATTTTGCACAATAGACCGTTCAACGGTCAAAAGTTGCACCATTCAATCAAAAGACGCGGCCAAAACTCGCCACACTGTGACCAAAACTGCAGGAAACCGCACCCGGGGGCGGTGTTCGCGGTCCAGGTGGCAAAACCGCGGTTTGGAACCGCGCCCACTCCCTGCAGCCTAAGAAACCTCCTATTTTTTTGGCAAAGTAAAATGAAAATGATGTTAGACCATGAGGAGTTGAGGACTTCCACAACCCAACCAACAAGCACGATGAACCCAAGAGCTTTATCCCATAACAAATAACAATAATTTGAGTGAACTTTGGCACACTAAAACACACATATTGTGAAATCTCTTATATCAATCAATCATACACTAAAATCACCAAGGTGATGATAACATTCTTCACTTCAAACTACAAACTAGAAACTCAATCCGATAGATGATGTGGTTCAGAACTGAGATTTATCAAGGCTATCAAAATAAGGATGATCCATAGCAGCTTTGGCTGAGATTCTGTCAGCCGGGTCGTATTTCAGCATTTTCTGAAAACAACAAAATCATGTAATCATGTAATAATAACACACAAAAAATACATCTTACATAACTGAAAGAAAGATATCAAGAATCTTGTTTGAGAGAAATATAGTACCGATAGAAGGTCACCCCATCAGGTCCTAATGATGGAACAACACGTGCCAAATTCTGGGGCTCCCACCTAGGATATACATGCCAGTCCCTTAAGGATGTGACACCTGGCCATTGCTGGTCTGTTGGTGTTCCAAGCAACCTGCGACCACAAACCAAAAATAAAATCATATCAATCTTGTCTTGCCTTCTTCACTGCATACAAATAAATCCTTCAAGAATCACAACTAGCAAAAATGCAAGCAATTTGCCACCCTTTCATATTGTCTAGTTTGAGAACAGAGAAACACGTCGTTTCATGTAAAGTTGTATGTAAAAACCTGAATATATGAAGCAGTTGCTGGAATTCAGAATCACCAGGAAACAAAGCTTGCCTTCTTGCCATTTCAGCTGTGAGAAATTACTACCCAGGTTAATAACATGAAATGGCCTACAATCAAGAAATAGACAGAAGGACTTTGATCTTTGGATGCCATCTGGGTTTGGTACCAAATTTATTACTAATGTGTAGGGGGGAAAGATTACGACAACAACTCCAAATAAAAGAAAAAATTGTGGGTATTCATTTAAGGCTACTCACAGAGTCCATGAGATAGAGATTACGAACAAGAACAAAAGGGGAAACGTAGTTGTAGATTGTGTATATAAGAAGGTGGAATAAAAGATCTGGAAATACTGACCGAAGATACAGCCAACAGACCACATGTCAACGCCAGTGGAATAATGAGTTGATCCCAACAGAACCTCTGGAGCTCTGTACCAAAGCGTAACAATCTGCAAACCCAAAAATCAAATTTTACATTCCAAGCCTAACCTAATCAACATCACTGAAGAAGAAGAAGAAGAAGAAGAGCAAAACCTCATGAGTATAACTCTTGAGAGGAACAGTAAAAGCTCTTCCAAGACCTAGATCGGCTATCTTTAGAATCCCCTTTTCTTTGTCAACCAGCAAGTTTTGTGGCTTCAGATCTCTGGTATTTTTGTTCCAACAGTTATTAAACCAAACAAAAAAAGAGGGCAGGGGAATATGAGAGGTAGAGATTAAGGAAATGGATACCTGTGAAGAACACCGTGACCATGGCAGTGAGCAACACCTTTACACAACTGAAACAGAAAGCTCTGGATCTGAGAAGGAGGGAGAGGAGAGGGATTAGGGCCCTTGCGATGAGAATCGATGAACTTTTTGAGATCGGTGTCCAGATACTCAAAGACAAGGTAGAGAAGGGGTTTGCCGTTATGGTGGATGTGTTGGACGCAGATGAGGCGGACGATATAGATGGAATTGGAGAGCATCTGGAGGAGGGAGATCTCGCGGAGGGCGGTGGGTGGGATGCCTTCCTCGTCCATCTCCAGACGGGTTTTCTTGAGGGCTACGAGTTGGCCGGTTTGCTTGTCTTTGGCTTTGTAGACTTTTCCATAGGTGCCTTCTCCTACCTTCTCCAGTTTCTCGTACTTGTCTTCCATGGCTGCTTGCAGAATGAGGGTGGGTGTGACCAGAGATGAGAGGGATTATATCAAATATAATATGAATATGATTTCAAATTGAAATCGCAACGGCAGTCGAAGTGTTTCCCACTTTTCCCCCGCTCTTCCAATTCGAATTCTTTCATTTTTGGGTTGGGCCCAAACCTACCATTTCACCATAAACTAAAAAACTTAGAATATTGATTAAATTACATAGTGGAGTAAATTATGCAAATGTTCCATGTGGTTTGAGGTAATCTGCGTTTTTGGTCCTTAATTTTTTTCTTAACTCGGACGGTCCCTAAGATGTAATTTTGTTGTGTATTTGGTCATGTCGGACCTAAAAGAACGTATTGCCCTTATTGAATATTTTTTAATTTATTTCTTTTTTATTATTTACTTGAATCTTTTTATTTATTTATTTATTAGGACCCACTATTCTTATCTACCATTATTCTTCATCGTTCAAGATCCCGTACTTCTAATTCATCACCGACCTCCAGTAACCGGTTGACTTCCAGCAACTAATTGACCTCCACTAACCACTACCAGTACAAACCTCAAAATCATATCAGTACAAACCTCAAAATCAAACTAATACAAATCTCGTATATTAAATTCAACCTCAAAATCAAAATCAAAATAAAAAACACAGATTATAAACCAAATTCTTCAGATCATAAACCAAACGATTCACATCCTAATACCAGGAATTCGAGTTTCCAAGTTAAATCACCAACCTGATGGACAAACGAATCATAAATCTTAATCCAAATGCTTTAGATCTTAATATACCCAAATCACCAAGAGAGTTAGGAGACATATCTTTAACCATGTGATTAAAGGGCTCTATTTTTGGTTTGATTTGATCATAATATACATCAGGGTAAGGAAAGAAATTGAAGGGAAACAAATGGATTGGTTCGTGGGGCATCATCTAAAGCGATTGTTGAACCTTAACACTACCAATGTTGGTCTGCGGTGAACACTGCTCCTCACGCAAAACCAAAACCAGAAACAAACCCAATCAATAATTAGGGTTAGACCTAAACCCATGGTCTAGTCCATTCCTCATCATGATGAGGGCAAAATACCATTTTGCCCTTTATATGCAAGCCCAAGTAAACTAATCCCAAAACCCCTAATGGCCCAAGGCCCAAAATCGATCCATTAGGCTTCTGTTGAGAACGCCTAGCGTCCGAACGTCGAGCGTTTGCTCGCTGATTACCAATTTCTTAATAGCTTAAGATCCCATGTCCAAACTTCAGATCCAATCATAATGGAACGTCTAAAGCCATAAAGTTGCAAACTTTATGGCCATGCATGGTTACAATGAGCCCAAAACCTAAAACTCCAACTCCTAACCCATTAAGACATCTCAAAACTTGCATGGAGTGAAAGGAAGGTCCAAGATCACACTTTTATCACTTAATCTACCCTAAAACGTTCAAAAGGACAACTCCTTTGGTCTAAGGTAGCTCCTACCCAAAAAGACTAAGAAAATGGGGCTAATAAGCATAAAGTTCTAACATAAGCAAGATCTAGAGATATGTTGATCAAGTTCGGAACTTTATACCATAAAATGATGCTCCAAGATGCCAAGAGTCCAGATCCACAAGCTTGAGAGCAACACCAACACTCCAATGATCTTCATTCTCTATCAAGAACACTAAAATGATACCAATAAGATGCACAAGGCTTCAAAATCTCATATACACTCAGGGTTTTCGAAATAAGGATGGAGGCTGGAGTGGTGAAGGGTTTTGAGGTCATAATGTTCTTTAAATATGGTGCAAACCTTAAAATTAGGGTCTGGTCTCTACGTATAAATGTTTGGCGTCCATCATAGAATGCCTGACGTCTGGCGTTTGGACTAAGGACCCCATCATCGGGATGTTATAATTTTCCCCCGCTTGACTTAGACTTCGTCCTTGAAGTGTGCTGCATCAACTAACCCATGGTAGTGTTTCCATATCTCCACCTCAGATCAATCAGACGGTCCTCCCCAAAACCCGATCTGAGCTAAAAGTCGGCTCATTTCGGCGGCTGACTACCCATCCCATCCTTGACCTGCTCACTTCATCATTGGAGAAATCATCACAACTTTCCCAAAATCTGGAAATCCAATACCTCGACTGACTCTTAAGCAAGAAAAACTAACTTGGAACACAATTATTACGATATCTTTACCATCCGAACAATACAAAACCCTTCCAACCCTGACTTACCGTGTTGATTCCACTGGGAATCATGACTCCTACCCGCTCTCTGCTGTTGAACCCTTCATTCGAAAACAAGCTGACTCCAAACACGAGCCTCAACTAGATAACCACTGCAGAGAGGCACAAACAATGCCAGCATATTCCATAATTCCCTGGTTAATACCGAAAGTCTAGAGAGAGATCCACAAAGTTGGGGACTCTCAAGGCTACAAACGCCGAATCAACTCTATCCATATGCTTCCCGGGACCGGAAACCCATCAGATCTAAATTTCAGAACCCATATTCCAGGATTGATATTCATCCATTTATTGAATCCACCCCTTTCCCTTGATTATGACCACTACCAAACGCACGGAAAATAACCCACACAGATCAATCGCGGATTTCCACAAATTTCAAATCCATAATATGTATCAAAGGCCTTAAATAAACCCTTGACTCCCTGACCCACCATTTCAAACCACTGCTCCTATGAGCAAATATGATAAATCCAAGAATTTTCACATTTGCCTCCAATCCTTATGAACTCAAGTGTACCCCCACCTGTCAAATCATTCGATACATTCACAAAGAACTTTATGATTCGAGACTTCATAAGGGATACCCAACCTTAATAATCAAACCCCTAATAACAACTTGCGAACAAACGAGATTCATAATGCAAACACTCCACAAAGAATTTCTAATGCACGACTGATACTCCTAACAACCCTTAACTGCTACTTTATCCAACTAGCCGATTCATGAGTCTCCCGAATTCCATCAATGCGCCAACACCGAAACTACCACAAGTAGAAGAAATGAACAATCATGATCATGGGCCCACAGCCTGTGTCTGTAATACCCCTACAAGGTCCTCAACATAGGTGTGGATTTCCTTCGAGCCCACAACATGAGTCTAGAATGCCCTACCCGGCCCTTAACCCATGTCTGGAATGCTCCCGGTATTACACCGATCTAGTCGACATTACATCTTTCGCTAGGAAACTCATGACCAGCACCACGGGGCCTAAAGATACTCAACCTCATTCCACCGCCTTGTAGGGACACAATCGACGTCCCTCGCAACACTAAACGGGTGCAACAATGTCGTACTCTTTTACCACACACAATTTATTTCATAGAACAAGTTTCCACCAGCGTAGAATCCGACGAAAAAACGGTCGCACGTGACCTAAGAATAGGATAAACAGTCGTACTCTTGTTCTAATTCACAAGATATAATACAAAAAGAAGCATGCAAATAATTCGATCTCGGTGCTCCAATGATATCTTGACCAACCCATAAACACCCCTCTCGGCAATACATAATGAATTTACCACAATGCACACCCTAAGGGAACCCATAACCTCATCCAAAAAGGGAAGAAATACAAGAGTTCTATCGAAACGACAAAGCTCAATCATTAACAGAAGACATCCTCATGATCGATCGAAACAAGATCCGATACTTGATTGAGACTAAACAGACCCCATCAATACGCAACTATCTCGCTAAAACTCTGAGGGTCATCCGAAAATGCTACTAAGGCTCTAGTCAGGTCCATCCAAATACTAACCCGAAATTCTGGACTCCCAATAACCAAGAACATCGTCTAAAATTAAGCCAAACTTAACAATATGTTAATGAATTCGTTGAACTTCAGCTGATACAGTCCAACACTTCCAAAGAATCTCCGCTTTGATGATGCATGAAGTGACCAATGGTCGAGAACACATTAACACTTAATCCATAGAACCAAAACCCACGCGGAGCTGAACATATCTATCTCTGTAACTGATTTACCGATCGACACCTGCCCACTCTAAACTGAAAAAAGCAATCCAAACAATGAGCTAACAAACCCCTCAACAACCGATACTCAACCTGAGTGATCCCAACGGCTCCTCGTCCACTCATTGGCATTCCAAAAGGAAACAATGACTATAATGAGCTCTTTGACCAACCACTTCCTACTGAGAGACAAATCGTGTACCACCTGAACACCTATATCCAATAGTCGCTTGCTCTATGCCCCTGGCTTGACCAAATTTTGAACCGAGATCTGACATACTCGCACCGCAGATCCCTATGAACCATTCTTCCAATATCACGAACTCGAACAGATCGATGATCCTTCCAAGAAGAATACGTAGTTCTCCCCCATTTAGGGTTCGAACTACCACCCACTAGTGTTGAAACCAAACCATAACTCAATCGGCTCAACCAGGTACAAACCGTCCCTGACTCTTGGAATGCATAACACACTTAGTATGATCTTCCAGATAAGGACCAATCAAATCCTAAGAGAATTTTGGATTTCAGTTGAAGACCTCTGAAATTCCCAATCATAACCACTTTAACATTAAGGATTTCATGCAAATGCATACGCAAACACCGACTTACGATCCAAAACATACACTCCTTGCCTGCAATCCCCAACCGTCAATCCGATACCTGACTTTCATATATCGAACGAAAACAGACCCTTTATCGCATCATTAAACATCCATACCACATCAATCCTCATGTGTATTCCTACGTTGGCATACTAGTTCTAGCGGGATACTACATGAATAATTATTCATTCAAAAATTACACTGAGGATCATAATTTCATACCTGTGATTTCTTGTGTTTCAACCTTGGCCTCTCACAGGATAGCAGACATCTGGACTTACACACCCTCAATTAACCAAGAAGGACATTCAGGTTTATGATGACCCGACTGGTGATAGTGGAAACACATGATCCTTCTTGCAGTCACGAAATACATGCCCTCTTTCTCCAAACTTATAGCATTTGAACTTGTGACAAGCAAACCTGTGGGTTCCCCCACACTTTTCGCATATATCAAAGCTCACTTAGCTTCCAACACCCATGTTAGCAACCTTGAACTCTTCATC